CACACACACACACACACACACACACACACACACACACACACACACACACACACACACACACACACATTTATGCTGTGTAGTAGAATGAGATCTGGGGGGTGATGGTAAAGTTGGAATTTATTCCTTTGCATCTAAAATTCCTATTTGCCGTTCATGTGCAAAAACTTTCCTGCAGTGACCTCATTAGACACTGTGAGAAGCTGTGAAATCAAGGAGTAAGAAAACAAAAAAAAATATTTCTCTGCATGTGCCTATAGACAGTATCTGACTGGGAGTGCGTGTGCGTGCATATCTGTGGTATCAACTAAGCATGCTGCATATGCATGCAGACAGTTTTGGTCCACTTTTGCACTGAGTAGCGGACTATGGGGCTCTTACTTGTTCTCGAGGATACAAGCAAAGACAGCTACCTTTTCTCCATTAGCACTTCCCAGCACATAGCAGCCCATAATGTGGATGAGGTTGGGCTCTGGGTTCAGCTTGCTCATCAGCCTGCTGAGTCGCCGCCAGAACCTGGTCACACAGGAGAGGTGAGAGGTGACAACAATCAGCATAGGTAAGGGTTAAGGTTACGATAAAATACTATTTATTGCCAGTGTTTAAACAGATTAGCTTGCAGATTAAGAAGTAACTCTTTTTTTTGCTTTCAATAGCCTGTGTGATTTTTTCTATTATAATGCAGATTTGATGCTTTATGGTCTGTCAATAGTGAGCAACACTGACTAGACCTGTGTTACAAATAAAAACCTGTAATCAGTAAGCTGACCAGCTCTCAGCATAACACAGACTCAAACTAGACTTCCCTTATAAAGACCAAATACTATGGTGCTTTAGGTACCGTATTTTGGTAGTACAATGTTAATGACAATGTCACCAAATTGGGATTCCACCCACTTGGGTGGTTTTAAGGTTAAGCTAAAAGCTTAAAACTACAAGTGCACTCAAGAATGCATGTATTACACCCTATCAGACCCCATACCTTTAAAGACAGTCACCTCCACAGTAGTCAACCGTGGTGCACATTAAGACTACTTAAACTTTCTTTTGCATAATACTATCTAAAACAGATTACTGCAAAGCTGAAGGACCCTGCTAAAACAAAGAAGCAAGAAGTTGAGGTGTCTGCCTATGGTTAAGGTTTTCAAAGTGGGTTTACATGAAAAACAGTCATCATATATTTAAATAACAGTCTTAAATATTTAAAAGTTAGATAGCAGATAGCTAAAATACTCAATCTAAGGACAAAACGTTTGTTCCTGTTTCAGTCGTATTTGCCTGCCTTGTTATCTTGTAACTGCAAAAAAACAAACAAAAACAAAAAAACCCTTCAAAGTCCAATAGAGATCAGGAGCAGAATCTCAGCTCACACATGAAAATATACTGGTGTGTGTGTGGGCAAATTAAAAAGAAAAGTGAGAATGAAAAGTTAATTTGTTTCATTAAACCACTATTAATGCAAACTGCATGTGGCCCGGAATAACTCTAATGCACTTTATATATTTTATTTTTATTGATGTCTGTTCCAATATTTTCTGGTCCCAGGCCTCTTGTGGGTTCAATACTCCAAGTAATGATTACGTTTGTAACAGCAGATGCAAATCAGACTATTTTCTTTCAAGTTCAAATTTCAAATGCCATTTGAAATGAATATTTTCAGACCACAGCAAGGACCGCAGTCTTGACTATGAGCATCCCTCTTTGCGAATCAGACTGTACTCATCTAAGCTTACACAGATCTTCTGTTGTTTTTGTGTTCATTTGAATTTGGCAGTTGCGACTTTAACCACATTATCCTTTGAAGAATTTTCCTCTTGGTTTTGCTGTGGACATTTCCACAGCTGTATTAATTATATTCACAATGAGAGGAGCAGAACCCATTTAAATTAAACCATGTACAAAATGTAAAAAAAATTCTTTATGTTATGTTATGATGAACAATAAACGCTTGACTTATGACCTATAAGTTATAACCTATAACTTTACTCTTTTGCTACGAATGTAAAATTGATATTAATGCACTGGAGTGAATTCTGTCTCTTTTTTCCATTTCTTTTCATAAACTCACTGTTTGTTTCTTCACCCGTACTTTACAAAAAAACATATATCCTTCCCTCAGGCGAGACTTACTGGATCATATCTTCTTCTTTCTCCACCTTGGCAAAGGTTGCCACTTTATTCTTCAGCAGGTATAAATGTCCCGGACCTCCCTATAGAAAGGTGTAAGTGTTATGATAGACAACGTTGTACCGTACGCTGTAGACTTGAAAACTGATGGGGTTATTCCATCGCATACACAAAACTGTGAAAATGTCTTGAGCAGCTCCTCATTTCTTCATACTTATCTTCAAAGCAAACAGGCTTTTTAAATTGTTCTAGAAGACAGGCTCTCCAGGTTTTCTGAAGATTATTCAAAGTTAGCAGCCTTTTTGCAAAAACAAATCATTTGTTTTTGTTTTTTTTTAGATAAATCTTTGAAAAATGTCAAAGATACCACAGGTCAACTGACATAAAATAGTACTGTTGCAACAACAATACAAAGACATAAAAACATTGAATATCTCACTATAGTGTTCAATGTCCTTAAAAAAAACAAAGAAAAAAAATTGACAAGTGGCAGACTGTGGTGCTATCCCTCAGCTTCCGAGTATTACCTGTATTTGAAAATTTTGTTGGAATTCTGATACCAAAAAAAAAATCTGAAAAGGCTAAATTATATGCATTAAAATTCTGTCTGGACAGTACTATATAACCACTATTAATTGATGTGATGAAGAGAATACACACACTAATAATTTCATTCAGGGATATCACTTATCAGTCAGTTTGTAATTAGTGGTTAGAGGACTATTGTGACTTAATAGAATGCTATTTTAAAGGGACATGTGACACAATGATGTCAAAATATTTTCATACTCTGTCTTCGTTTTCACTCACCTGGCAGAAAATGAGCATGTTCCAGATTTTACAGCCTTTCCTGTAGGCAGTCAGCTTCTTCTCGATCTCCTCTGGGTGAGAGAGAAAGAGAGGTGTCACTTTTCCCACTCAGCCATAATGGTGACACACAAATTGGCTGTCCCTTGAGACACACACACACACACACACACACACACACGCGCGC